CAACTCCGTCTTCAATCGAAGAGCACGCATGCCTTTTTTTTGAATCGATCAAGATAAACTGAGGTGATGTGAAGACGGACGTTTGCCCACAACAACAGCTTTATACCTGCAATCTTTGTCGGAAACTAAACTGAGGAGCGTTGCTGCGGTCGGGCCAAGCTCCACCCACTTCATGCACCTGGTCACTGCCTCGAGGTACGTTCATTGCAATTGCAGACACTTCGTCTTCTCTTCGACTGGTAGCCGTCTCTCCCGCTCTTTGCACCGCCGCTAGCCTTTCTTGCGAGGCCGCTGCCACTGCTGCTGCGGCGGCAGAAGCGGCTATGGCCGCCCTCTGCTCCGCCTCTCTTCTCCGGGCCCGGAGTTCTTGCACCGATGCCCTTTCTTGCGCCTCCCAGTTTCGTTGTCTCTCCCTCTCCCTCTCCTCCCGTTCCCAACCCCTGTGACGCTCCCAGAGCCTAAGCAGCTCCCTCTGCCTGCTTGCTACAAGTCTCTCTCTCTCGGCCTGTCTGTCCATCGCTGTTCCAACCCCCCCCTCGCCTTCAGCGCCCGCTCCTCGTTCCCTCCCACGCTCGGCAACACTTCTCCCATCCCCCTCCTCTCTTCCCCCCCCTCTCCCCTCCTCTCCATGTCCACCTCCTCTCCCTCTATCAGCCGACCTCGACAAGTGGGTGGCCTCTCGCTCTGTATCGCTACCGGAGGAGCTGTCTCTGGGACTTTGCGCGTCCTCCGCTGATATATCCGCCGTCCCGCCGACTTGCGCTTCCATCGCTCCGCTAATCTCCGTAGCGCCGCTCGCAATCAATCTAGGCGCATCTACCACCCTCTCCCGCGACAACGGCCTCTCCGCTTCTCTCATTAGGTCCCTCTGCCTCTCCCTCACCAGCTGTCTTCGTCTCTCCTCACCCATTCCGATCACCCACTCCAGACCCCTTTCCAGACCCCTTTCCCTCTGCAGCGCGGCTCTGTCTCTCTCCGTCATTGCTCTCTCCATCGCCCTCGCTCGCCTTATCACTCTACCTATCTCTCCCTCAGCCTCATAGCCCCCGTCCATCGCTCCCTGCATTTCCCTCTGCATATCTCTTCCTCTTCGTAAGGCCAACTCCGTCTCTGCCTCTGTCTCTGTCTCAGGTTCTCTCTCTCTCACCCTCTCCCTCAATCTCTCGATCGCTCTGTCCGCCTCTCTTTCAATACTCAACCCCCTCTCCATCTCCACCCTTTCTCTGTGTCTCTCCATCACCCTCTGTCGGCCCATCGCTCTTCCAATTTCTCCCTCCCTCTCCATCGCCCTCTCTAACGCGCTCTCTCTCTCTGCCCCTCTTTCAATCGTCACCCCCCTCTCGATCTCCTCCCTTTCTCTCTCTCTCTCCACCACCCTCTGTAGCTCCATCGCTCTTTCAATCTCTCTCTCCCTCTCAATCGTCCTCTCCAACTCCCTCTCTATCTCGTGATTATCTCGCCTAGCATCCTGGTCACGTTGCCTCTCCCGCTGCAAGCTCCTCCGTCGTTCCAGCGCTCTTTCGAGCTCTCTGGAACTCTCTCTCTCGCGCGTTCCGCCGCCGTCCCTCTCAGTACTCAACGCGACTTGCAAGCCCACCACTCCTTCATCCGCCACCACATCAAGCGCACTACTTCCGCTATCTCTCCCTCTCTCTTCCGCAAACCTGTTCGCCGCCGACGCACTACTAGCTCCAACGCTACTACCGGTCGTCCGACCCATGCTCTCTGCGAACCGAACAACAAGACTGCCAGAACGCCTTCCCCCTCGCGGCGATGGCATGGGAATCCCTCTCTGGGGGCAATCGGACGACCCTCTCTGCTGTTGAGCAGACCCGATCTCTCTCCCCCCCTCCCCCCCCGAGCTCTCCGCTGTCGTCTCGCTGGCATCGCTGCTCGCAGCTCCGCTATCCCGACCGCTACCACTCATCTCCGCGCCATTCTGCCTGGACCGGCGGCGCACTCGCGAGCTCCTGACTTCCGTCTCCCGCTCCCTTTCCAAATTCCGCGCCACTTCCAACTCCCGCCATCTCCGCAACAAACTAGACGCCGTTTCCAGTTCCCTCTCTCTCTCCCTCAGCAATTCCAGCTCCCGCTGCCTCTCCACCTCTCTCTCCCTCGCCGTCTCTCTCTGCCTCTCCCTCTCCCTTTCTCTCTCCGTCTCCCAGATCGCTGACCTCGTCCGACCTCCCTGATCACGGCGATTCCCTTCGCTCCGCTCCCTCTCCCTCTCCCTCTCCCTCTCCCTCCCTCTCCCCCTCTCTCTCGATGCCACTCTCTCCAGCTCGATGTCCCGCCATCGCTGCACCAGCTGAGAGGCTCGCACTGGGCGCTCCATTCCCGCCCCCTCCTCTGATGACGGCGACCCCGATCCCGACTCCCGTCTCCCTCCGCTTTCTACCAAGAACTCCCGGTCCAACATCGAGACTGCGTGCAGCCCCGCCAAAGCCAGCAATTCAGCCTCCCTGTCCTGTCTTTCCATGCTCGTCAGCCCGTCAGCAGACCCTTCCCCGCTGCCTCTTGCCTGCAACAATGGATGCCGTCGCAAGCTCTCTGGCATGCCATCCCCCCGATATCCGGCTCCCCCAAACGACGACGACCCGAATTCCTGCCCCGCCCCTCCATTTCTCCGGCGAAGGCTTCGATTGCCCTCCGCCGCCACCGGCGACGTGCGGTTCCCGTCTTCCTCCCCTCGCGCCCGCCGCTGACCAGACTCCGCGTCATCGTCGGCGCACTCCTCCTCTTCGTCGCGCTGGCGCTGAAGTCGGCGCTCGAGAAGCCGACGCCTACGTCTCAGAAGGCTGCTCTCAATGATCGATCGCGACTTCGAGTTCGACTCTGATCCCGATTGCGACTGAGACTGGCCGGGATTACCCATCCTACTAGTATCGACATCAATCTCTGAGATCCGCGGCATGTTCCCTTCGCGGAGCGTAGCGTTCAATCGACGCTCCAGCGCTGATGCCAACTCACGTTGATGAGCAGCAGATCCTTGAAGAAGAAACGCTCGAGCGGCCATCTCCTCACGATCCGCCATCGCTACCTCATCGTACACGTCGCAGCCAGCATTACCTTCGCTGTCCAGGGCATCTCGGGATCGACCGTTCGATGCCAAGCGAATGCAACTGCTCACGTGGTCGTGGATAAGCTCCTCGAGACCTCGACGAAAGTCAGCATCCACCTTGGTCACAGGATGGGTCTCTGACAGACGCTGGAGGTCCAATTTGTGTTCCTGTTTCTGGGCTTGGTGAAATTGCAGCACAGCGCGCAGTTTCAATTCCATCTGTGTGGGTCCATCGTCGGAGACAAGCTCTGAGAGAATTCTTGAACCCACATCCAAGCACCTTGCCATGTCCTTAAACACTCTACTCCCTCGAAATCACTCCCAATGATGCCGATTCTCATCATCACGTGCGGCTCATCATCCCCCGCACAATGTATCAGCTTTATGTACTTTATGTACTTAGTCGGCACGTTTACAAAATTAACTCTCTCTCTCTCTCTCTCTCTCTCTCTCTCTCTCTCTCTCTCTCTCTCTCTCTCTCTCTCCAGTCGGAATTCGCAGCAGAGTCTTTACGCGCCAACACCTTGGCACCAGGACCGACCAGAATAGGATACTCTTTGTCAACACTGTCAGGCAGATGAAACACAATCTATTTACAGTCAACTTACCAGGTCTGCACCCACCTCCGCATTCTGTAGAATGACGATTAGCATCTGCAACAGACCATTCGTCGCACGATTCTCTTCAGTAAACATAACATAAGCTCTCGTTGTCCCTCACCTAGCAACACGATTGATGCCGGCCAGGAGCACTGATGACCTCTCTCTCTCTCTCTCTCTCTCTCTCTCTCTCTCTCTCTCTCTCTCTCTCTCTCTCTCTCTCTCTCTCTCTCTCAAACACACACACACACACGGCAGTCAAGAGCACGTGCACGCCGACGTCGACATAGACCAGCAACGAATCTCCAGGGAATGAAGAAGATTGTGAATCAATCAATCAATCAATCAACCAGCAAACGGACGGTCCGATGGCCCTCGCCTGCTGAGATGCAAGGATCGTGACGCCCCTCGAAGTGAGTTTCGATCCAATCGAATCAAAATCGAGGAAGGAAGCTTCGGTCGAGAGCGCGAATCGGCGACTTGCCGCCCTTCATCATCTCATGGCGAGAATATACAAACCAGAGCTCGCTCGCCCGCCCTTCTTCGGCAGACGCAATCGCGCAGGCGACTTGCTCAGCTGGCCCTTCCCTGCCGCCCCCCGCTTGAGAGGCATTTTGGCACCAGGACCACACGAGATGTGCGGCATTGGAACCCGACGCTGGCATCCACACCACCACATCACTGGGACGGCTGGACCAGGAACGGCCCCAACCAGCAGCACATGGCGCCGGCCACGACCACCGGCGATGCCGCTAACGACAACAGTCGCCATCGGCTCGCCTCCGGCTGTTCCGCTCAGGTCAGCGCAGCGCTCTGAACATCTGAACATGGGGATGGGGATGTACCCCTTTCTCTTCGACCCTCCAGAAGCCTACCCCAGCGACTCCACCCCTACCCCATACATACTAAAGGGCCTCCACCCTTCGCGAGTTGGACATGGCATGCCACTTTGTCTGTGAAAAGGGGCCATGGAGATGCTCCGCTGCCGTTCCAATTCCAAATTTTCCATGTCCCCAGAAATAGCACATGGCACGGGCAGTATACCTTCGCTTACAGCTGAGGGACGGGGCTCCGGGCTCATTCATGGCCGAAGCAAAGACAAAGATAACCCGGCTGTCCCTCACCTCGTCTTGAATGAATGATGTATTTTGATGTATTTGCCTTGGGCACTGGGCCCTGATAATAAAGGCTGCTTTTTGAAGAAGGGAAAAAAAAACGAAAGAAATTGCATGCCACCAGTGCGGCCTGACCCCCGTGGGCGTTGCCTGAGGCCTACTGCAGGGCCTGCTGGTGTTGCGCTCAAAAAGCATGGAACTACCTTTTGGAAGTGGTCTGTGAAGACGAAGATAGGACGACTGAGATCTCTGGCCCCTCAGGGTAAGGGGAAATCCCACTCGGCACTGAAACATCTCAAAAAAGCACTGCGACCTTCTCGTCATCAGCTGAAGGTCGCAGGATCGAAACCAGCTGTGGCCACCAAAAACTGAAAACGACGCATCTGCCACTAGGTCGCCCAAGCACGGTAGAAGTTCAAACTGTCCGATGAGTCTGCTGCTCAACCCTCTGACGCTATTCTGGTCACGGCTGCCAGCACACGGCTGGATGGAAAAAGCGAGCACTGACGACTATCTCCAGTTGAATCTGACTCAGAGGTGAACGTTTTTTTATATAATTAGCTGCGTTTTCAGGTTGCTATTTTCTGGTTTTTTTTCCTATTGATTTATGATCATGGGCCTTGCTCCACTGCCAAGTCTCCACATGCTGGTCAAGGATGGGGTGAGGCCGCCGGTGAGGGTCTGGCTAACGCAAAGACCGAGCATTTTGACAGTAGCAGCGCCTCCCTTTTTCATCTTTCCCCACCCCCAACCGAATAACAGCAGTGTCTAGGATGGGGTGAGGCTGCCGGTGGGGGTCTGGCCAACACTCTCCCACACACCACACACAACCCACTCACACTCACACTCACACTCACACTCGCACTCGCACTCACACTCAAACCCGTGTTGGCCAAGGACCCTGCTAATACTGATCAGAGGTATCAAGCGCGGAATAGCATGCATCCCCTCTGATGGCTGAAGGGAGACAACAAAGCTATGTTTGCAGGGGTCCCCTGTATAACCCTTAGGAGTACTGGTAGGTAGGTAGTGAAGGTCAATTGAAAGAATTTGAAAGATGGTGAAAGATTTTAGAGATTTCGACCGGGAACAAAGTGGGTAAGTGGTAGGTAATGGGCGGCGAGTAGAGGGTCAACGAGCAGGACTGAGGCTGCCGAATGCAGCGAATGGGGGAGGTAAGGTTCGGAGATTGCTGATTGGGAGAGGTAATGCAGGCCTGGGGGAGCTCAACAACCATGTAGAGGAGAGGAAACAAACAGCACGCTAGGAAGGTTTTGCAGAGGGGGAGGCCCCTGTGTAATGCCACTTCGCAGCCTTCAAGCTCTCACTCCCTCGTTCAAGTTGTATTGAGTGGTCCAAAGCGGCAAGTCAGTGCTTCACTCTATTTAGGCAGCCCGCTGGCTGAGAGACTACGCGGTGGGGACCCCTCCTAGATTAAAAACTAAATCTTGGCAATGCTCCCTCCTCTTACTAGCTCAAGCAAAGCCGGGTAATGCTCCCGGACACCACAGTGATGTAATTCTTTCACCTAATTCTCGTTATGAGGGATGCTGGATCCGGTTTCCGGCAAGTGAAGATCCCTACCAATAGACTGGAGTCCTCGATCCTGCTGGTTCTCGTACCACCACAGGATCGCAGGTGTCCACACGATGTTATTAAGAGGAAAAAAAAAATAAAAAATTAAGAGAACAACTTATAGTCTTTTTTTAAAAAAAGAAAAAAAAGAAAGTCTCCACATCATCTTCTTCTTCTACTACCAGTAGCATCATCAGAGCTCTTGAGGGATGCTGAGGCCAGTTCTCAACATGTTATAATCTTTCAATCCGGGTAGACTGTGAGGATCCCGGCCTCAAAATTTTCATTGGTACTATCAGCCTTGGGCACTGGCCTCTTTAAAAAAAAAAAAAAAAAACAATGACAAAAACAACAACAACAACAACAACAACAAACAAACAAACAAAGTAAATACAATCCTAAACAAAAAAAAGACAAATATCACGATGTATTTTTTCACGTTCTAGAGGAGGATTCATTCTGATTTTGCACGTTTGGTGAGTAGTGGATCTGAGCCCCATTTCTCTCTATTTATTTATTTCATGTCATAAAGGTCTACTGCCCAAGGCTCGCATAACAGGCCCTTACCGTCTTCCCCTGAACACAACGCACCCGCATTATAGCGGTAAGACCAGAAAGATCCCCTGTAGACATTCATGATCGTGGGAAGAGGGGTAGTTCACAGAGGAGCAGAGAGTTCACCGCCAGAGTGATAGCGAGTGATTTTTTTCTTTCCCAGCTCCATCATCATTTCGCTTCTTCATTTTCTCATCTCTTTATCTCTCTACTATTTGTACGCTACTAGGGACCAAGTCCCGCTTTCCGAAATTCTCAACTTTCGACCATAGATTAGGAAGATCGACGGGCAAAAATCAAGAATCAGTGTAAGTGGGAACATCCACCAGCCCGCACCTCTCCCTAACCCATAGGGTAGATTTGGACCATAATGTTGCGGCGAGAGCAAAGCTGTACCAGACCCTCATCACAATGCTCTTCTTCTTTTATGTCTTGTGCAAGTTTTTATGAACATGAAAAAGGGGAAAGAATGAGAAAAACAAAGAAAAAAAAAACAAGCTACAATGTAATCACTGGTATAAAGTATGGGGCGAGGTTTCCATACAATACTTCAAATTTTTTCTATAATTGTTTTTTAAAAGTTGGTCCGCAATGTAAGTTGCACTTCAAATAGAGCGTATAGGTGTTTCTGTTGAAAAAAAAACACAAATTTTATGCAGATTTCATGTGGCAGTTGTACGCCTGTTATGTTGGACAACTCACTATGCATGGATGGCTCGACATATATGTGACCTGCCAATTTTTGTGCCTGAACGAGCTTTCGAAACCCTTCATTCTGCTACTCTCGTTTTTTGTCTCTAATGGGTTTTGGATACTTCCTTTTTGGCGGATGGGTAATACATGGAATCAATGGCCGCCAAGGTCCTCCCACTTAAAAATATTTTTTATTTTTTTAAAATTTTCTTTTGTTTTTCTTCAAAATCTATGAATTTGCATAAAAATTAATCGTGCCTTAGGAAGAGAGCTATAAATTTTGTTTGACAGTTCGGAACTCCGAAATTTGCAGACACACTTCCCGTTGACATGCCCTTTCTTGTGCATGACTGTTCTCAAATCCGTCTTGGAAAGCTCTATGAATTTTATGAAGGAATCTGAATAGGAGTTGAATTTTTACGTGTCATATTTTGTTCGCAGATACTGTTTTTAAATTTTTCAATTTGGAATCAGTTTTAGAAATGGGGTGGGTAAAGCGTAATTGTTTCGGTACCTTAAGTTTTAGAAATGGCGTGCAAGCTTCTCTCGTCCTCGTTGCATCTCAAGCCAGCCTTTTTCCTTTGATCCATAGGAACTGTTTTTCATCCCCTTTCACTTCGCGTTTCTTTCTCCCTCCCTCCACCTGACTCTTGGTGCCGCTTTGCACCATTCTTCGCCTCCTCCCTCTTTCTGTCTTCATCGCCGTACAGGAAGTCCCTACCGACCCCCCCCCCCAAGCCTTCAAACCATCTGATGATAACGTGTAAGGAGACTGAATCCCCTCACACTTTAATATGATTGGTTGCGAAGGATTCGCGTGACTCGTG